AACACCCCCCCCTCCCCGCAGTGTCCGGCTGTCCCCGCAGGCACCCCCCGCAGTGTCCTGCTGTTCCCGCAGGCACCCCCCCACAGTGTGCTGCAGGGCCAAGAATCAGAAATGCGTCTGTAGCCGCAGGGAGGTTGGCCATGGAATGCCCTCCTTCGGGGGTACAGAGCCCATGAGTGACATTCACACCTTTCCTCTGGCTCCGACTGTGGGAAACACTGGGGTGGTTGGCCCCAATTTCATTTCTGTTCTGCAGCTGTGTCAGCAGCCCCTGGAGGGCTCAGTAACACCAGGTGAGCCCTAGACAGCTTGGCTCAGTGGATAGAGCATCGCCTCGTGGACTGAAGGGCCATTGGTTCAGCTCTGGTCAAGGGCAGGTACCTCGGTTGCAGGCTCGATCCCCGCCCCATAGGTGCAAGTACAAGAGGTAGTCCTATCACTGTGTCTGTCTCAGCAATAGGGTTGTTTCTCTCTCTGTCTCTCCCCCTCCCTTCCACTCTCTCTAAAAGTCAAAGGAAACATACCCTCGGGTGGGGATTAACAAAAAGAAAAAACCAGAGGTTGCTGGAGGTTAAAACACAGGTGGCCAGGCCCACCCAGAGTCTCTGGTTCCCGGGTGGCGGGGGGGCAGTTGGCAGGTGCTGCTGACAGTGCTCCCAGGCGTGTTCGTCGCCAGGCCACGTGGAGCTGTTTGGTGGAAACGTGGAGCCGGGCATCTGAGTGCAGAGGCAGGGAGTCTGCTCGGACTGAACTGAGAGTCCTGCATGTTCAGCACCCTGCCTGACCTGAAGCTGGCGGCTCTGCCCTCACTGCGGAGGCACGCAGAGCCCGCGGTGTAAAACTAAGGAGCTTAGATTAAAAGCAAACTTCCCTGTCCAGAAAGCCACCTGTTGGCCATTTGGTAAGTACAGTCAGGCCTACGTAGTCTCACTCTGACTCGCTCACGTCGTACTCGGCATGGAGCCGCAGTGGCTGTGAATGGATTAAAGTATCAATGACACTAGCTCAGCGCCTGCTCGTGCCAGACTGTGAAGTGAGATTGCCCTCCATTTTGCTTTAAGAAGGCACAAACTTCTGGCTCAGAGTGGGCGTATTATAAAATAATAGGAGCTTGAACCTGCACATTGGTTTAGGAACACTGGAGCCCTGGGAGCAGTCATAGCTGTACATGCTGCCTACCGCGACCTGTGAGCGCTGCTCCTGTTCTGAACACTGAGGACGCGACGCGGGTGCTGCAGGCCCTGTCCTGGGCGCAGGGAGGGCCGTCTGTCCTGCTCCGAGAGCCACACAGCGGCTCGGATGGCAGTGTGAGGACAGTGAGGCGCTTCCCCGGCTGGTGGCTCGGGCCTGTGAAAATAATCAGGATTTGGGGACTGTGCTCGCATGATTGTGCTTAGAACACAGCTTTGTGCTTTAGAATATCATGTCGAAAGGGCTGGTCGACAGGGTCATCTGTGATGTCAGCGTTCCTGATGACTCATTCCTAAAGTCTGAACTGGCAATATAGTTTTCAAGGCCTGTGTTCTCCTCCCACTCCCTGCCGCCCCGCGCCCCCCACCTTCTGTGGCCATGACCCTGCAGATAAGGTCCGGCCTAGCAGAGACCAGCCTTCCTGTCTCGGAGCTCCATCCCCTGCCCACCCCAGGGCTTGTCCAGTTGGGCCTGTCTCAGGCAGAGTGAGCCACAAGCTGTAAGTACAGTGTCACTGACTCTCCTGTGCTAATGGGCGTGGCCATGGGTGTCAGCGCCGGCCCAGGCTGAGCTCTCTGAGACCCCATTTCCTTGAGTTGTCATTCGTTTGTTCATATGGGTTAGCTCTTGCTCTGCAAGATTCTCACACTGTTGATCAAACGTTTGTAAACTCGGCCTAACAAACCATGGTAGGTGCTGGCGAGCGCTGCCCTGGGGTGGAGGCCAGGCAGGGGCCGGGCTGTGTCCTCAGCACCTGTGAGTCCTGGGTGTTGGGGAGCTGAGACCTGGTCTAGAGATTCAGGGAGGGGCATGATGAAGGGGTGGGCGTGGGTGTGGCACTGGGCCTGCCACAGCGTGAGGTGCACTCGCCACAGGCCCGGGAAGAGCCTGTCTTGTTGGGAGTGAGGAGGAGTCCTCAGCCTTGCAGGAGCTGCGCCTTGTGGGAGCAGTTGACCGAGGATGGGGGTAGGGGCTCAAAGAACTACAGGAACAGGAGGGGAAATGGGACTGGGGATGGCGCATGCTTCCTCTCATTGATTGGATCGAATTGTGGGCAGGGCCAGGTGACACCGC